ATCAAAATTATTATCATCGTCAACATTATCATCAGCATCATTATCACGATTTTCATCATTATAATCCTCATATCATCAGTATCATCCTTATCACCATCACCATTATCATCATCATTATCAACATCAATATTATCATCATTATTGTTATCATCACTATCATCATTTTCATCGTTATCCAAAAAAGAAAACATCATCATTATCATTCTGATTATCAGTAGCAGCATCTTCAATATATAAAATCTACAATCTGTTTAAGTACGTTGGCATATAAAATCTACAATCTGTTTAAGTACGTTGGCATATAAAATCTACAACCTACTTGTGGTACTTTGATTAAAAAATGTGCAATCTCTCTCTCTCTTTCTCTCTCTCTCTCTCTCTCTCTCTCTCTCTCTCTCTCTCTCTCTCTCTCTCTCTCTCTCTATGTGTCTCTAAATATATATATGTATGAATGTATAAATTTATATATATATATATATATATATATATATATATATATATGCAGTTTATTTATTGTGTGTTGATATATAAACTATTTAATTTATTATGACTGCGTTAATGTATAAAATCTGCAATCTATAGTGCCTGTGTATATTTTTTAATATATATATCACAGCCGATTCTATTTATAGGCTAACTAGGTCTACTTGGATTCCCGTTTTTGTGCAAGTAAGGAGTCCCTCTGTTCACAGTTTTAATCGAGGATATTTATATCAACATTAAACTACAGTTCATTAACTTGCGATATATTTTATAGAATTATATGTCATTTTAAAGGTAAATAGGTGTGCTATTAAAATATAACAATAAAAAACAAAAATGCTTTTGCTACAGTCAACATGAACATTGACATCAATAACGTGTAGATATAAACTGAAAGTTTTTTCAACGAAAGTAAAGAAATATTAGCGCTAACTCTTGATTCTGAAAGCGTATGCATTAGAGGACTCGGGAAGGGGAAGAGGGTTGGGACATTTGTAGTTTATCAAATTTAGCACATAAAAATACTGCTAGGAAACATACACATATCATACATAACATAAATATAAATGATTGATAGTTATTATTACTATTATTAGACTACTTCAACATATAATTATACTGTCATTTAATAATTAGTAAACAAGCAAAGTCAATAAGAAATTGATATGTGCAATAATTTTTCACCTAGAGTAGTTTTCTTAACAGTACTTATAGCACTACTAAATATTTATCCTCAATGTACAAACAGCACAAACAAATTTGTCCAGTTTCTTCTTGTTGGATGAAATCAGTTCCTTATCATTGTGCATTGTTTTGGTAACTGTTTGAAAATACATCACACGGATTTCTGAATACTGCATGCAACAACGCGTATAAGTATCATTTATGGTATATTACTTTTAAGATAAGTGAAAAACATTAAAAAAGACCAAATAACTGCAAATGCTGTGCAACATACACATTTCAAACACAACAATTCCCCATAAAGATACTGGGTCTCATTGTTCCAAAATGCAACAAACAGTGTCTGGAACAAGACATAAGCCCAGAAGTAGATGAACAACCAGAAGTTTCTGCCAGAGTTTTCAGCCAGTGATCGCGAAGCAGAAGACGATTCACAAAAATTAACACAACCAGACAACTGGTGCGTTGAAGTGTAAAATCTGCAGTTTATTACTAGTTCGTTGATATACAACAAAACTATATTTATATTTATATATTTCATATATTTATTGTGCGTCGATGTATAAAAGGAACAATCTGTTTACGGTGTGTTGATTATAAAGAATATACAGTATATTAAGGGTGTGTAGAGTTTGTATATGAATTATATATTCTATATAAATAACATTGATATATGAAATCTATAATCTATTTAAATCACATTGATGTATGCAATCTATAATCTATTTAAGTCGCGTTGATGTATCAAATCTACGATCTATTTAAGTCTTATTGGTGTATGAAATCTATAATTTATTTATGGCGAGTCGATACATACAATCTACAATATGTGTTTGGCGAGCTGTTATAATTTAAATAACACACAAACAACAAAAACACACTTTATTTATCTATGCCCGTCACAGCTCATGATAGTGATTGCAAACTATCTCAGATAATTATTTTTTTTTATAAGTTTCTGTAGGCAGACAACATCTCACTGGAAGAAATCGAAGCACTGGGAGATTTTGAAATTGAAATAATAACTAAACTTTTAAATGATATTTATAATAGTGGGTATATTCCAAATGACCTTTTAAAATCCATATTTATAGCTCTGCCGAATAAACCAGGCACTTTAAAATGTGAAGACCATCGCACAATAAGTCTTATGAGTCACATGACTAAGATTTTACTGAGAATAATTATGAGAAGAATAAGAAACAAAATTTACCCAGAAATCAGCAATGAACAATGTGGATTTGTAGAAGGAAACGGTATAAACAATGCCATATACATCCTAAGGACATTGTCAGAAAGAGCTATAGAAGTAAAGACTGATTTGTACTTATGCTTCATAGACTATACAAAAGCATTTGACTGTGTGAAGCATAAAGAAGTAATCAAATTGTTAGAAAAATTAAACATTGATGGGAAAGATCTACGAATAATAAAGAGAATGTATTGGCAGCAAACAGCAGCTATAAGAATTAACAACTGTTTAGGTACATTTCAGAGCATAAAGAGGGGCGTACGACAAGGATGTGTACTGTCACCTCATTTGTTTTCAGTATACATTGAATATATAATGAGATCTTTAATTGATATGCCCGGAATTGTGGTTGGTGGGCACATTATAAAATATTTATATTATGCTGATGACACAGTCTTGATAGCAACAAGTCAGAAAGAACTACAGGAAATGATAGACACTGTGGTGTTAGAAAGTGGTGGAATGGGCCTCACTTTGAATAATGGGAAGACAGAAGTAATGGTGGTAAAAAAGAAACGAATTATTCCTAAATGTGTAATAAAAGTCGTTGGTGTTATTTAAGGACCATACAAAAATTTAAGTATCTGGGCACATGGATAACATCAGATGGAAGTTGCATAACTGAGATAAGAAACAGAATAGGACAGGCAAAAACTTCTTCTTCTTCTTCTTCTTCTTCTTCTTCTTCTTCTTCTCTTCCACCTTGTACCTTGATGACCTGTAAGACTGGCTTTATTCCTAGCATTCGTCTGATTTCATGATTTCGTATTCTGTCTTTCCTTGAAACTCCTGCAACATGCAAAAACTGCATTTTATAAAAAGAAAAACATCTTGTGCAATATATCCTTGTCATTGAGAGTTAGAAAAAGTATTCTTGTTTGCTACATACATCCAGTTTTAACATATGGCTGTAAATCCTGGAGAATCGGTAGGCAGGCAAAACAATTTCTTGAGGCCTGAGAGATGTGGTTTTATAGAAGAATGCTTAGAATACATTGGACAGCCAAAAATAGCAACCAAGAGGTTTTGAAAGAGGCGGGAGCCCGAAGACAACTTATCACAGACATCAGAAGGAAACAGTCATCTTTTTTCGGCCATGTTATGAGAAGAGGCAAAATTAGAACATGTTGTGACCACTGCAAAGATCTGTGGAAGGAGAGATAGAGGGAGACAACGAGAGAAGATACTTGACAGTCTTGTTGCATGGCATGGAGGTGTGTCGGCACACGAACTGATACATGCTGCAGGAGATCGCAGATTATGGAGAGGCATGATCGCCCACGCCAGTTGGCAAGGCACCTGATGCTGTAGGTAGGTACGTAAGTTGTACCCAACCAGGACAACACACAAGCGATAAACGCCCGGTGACACAAAGTGCCACCATGCGGATGAGGATCACCCGTGGAGAGGTTCCGTTAGGCCATATCTATGTCGCAGCTATATTCAAGGCTTCCGGCAGAAGCAAGGATGGGGCTTTACAAAAAAATTCCTCCTACAAGGGAACGATTTTTATAAAAAGAACTGGTTTAAAACAATACATTTAGAGCTGAACGTTTTTGATGTCAGGTGCCCTTGAAAAAGTACTGTACAACTTCTATAAAAACAACAAATAGTTACTGGAGCTTCTATTTTTTTTTTTTTTTTTTTTTTGTTTTTATAGAAGTTGTGTAGTACTTTATCACGGGCTCCTGACGTCAAAAAACGTTGGGCTCTAAATGTATTGTTTTAAACCAGTTATTTTTACAACCATTTAGGGGGGGGGGGGAGGGGGGGGGGGGAATCACCCTTGACCGTGTTAAGGGAAAAAATAGTTGTAAATGTGCTGTTTCAAATCGACTCACAATTGATATATACTTATTTCGTTTCGTATTATATACAGCCTTCATATTCAAACTTTTCGCTCATTAAGTACTTTTTGGACTGTGACGTATTTAATACTTCCTGATAAAGACTTTGGTCGAAACGTTCGGTTGTGTGTCTGTGCGTTTTTTTCCATTCACTCCGCGGAGCTTTCCAGTCATATTTGTGCGTTATATTTAGCATTTCTCACAGCTTGTGAATAGGCCACCAAGCGAAACACTGATCGTTACAGAAAGTGAGTTGCTGAGATTCTGGAATTAAATAAGAGGGACATGTTTTACTTTGTCAACATCTTTAATTCTTTCATGACGACAGTTTTATTTTGTGCTTCTGTGAGCATGGGAGTCCAAGCCTATGGCGAAGGCGATTGCGACTAGCAGGACATGTTTGCGTTAAGAATACTGCTGTTGTACTTTGGTAAAAATTTAATTATCAGAGCTGCTTTAAGTAGAATAAGGAAAAGTTATGTTTTAGTGTGAGCTATCCTAACCGGCATTTGGGAAAATTACTGTTTTGTACTGGTCACTTAAGAAAGCGCTAAGGGATTCATGCGGTTGAGCCACAACTGAAGGATTATTGTAATTAATCTCGTAGTTGATTAAAGTTATGAACTGCTGTCACATATCTGCTCTATTCCTATCTTCAGCAGCCAGTGACAAGTGCCGATGTTGATTGCACTAGAAGCAGTTTGATTATCTGACTTTCTTGAATCTGGGTCACAATGGCGACGACACGCGAGACTTTACCTAGCGAGATCTTGATGGCTGTTATCGTTGGGAGTGCCAATGATTCCAGGAACAGCTCACTGGGCCTCCATCCCCGGCAGATGCCTACTCCCCATGGAATGATTGACTTCCTGGAGAGGATCACTAGCCCCTTGGTGTGTCTGGTTGGCACCGTGCTAAATCTAATGACCGTTGGGACCTTTCTGTCCCGGCCTTTGAAGTAAGTCACGTAGTTGGTGTGTCTGTTTCAATTATCAATAAACGGAGGGAACCTTTGCCCCGTAAAAATAGTATTTATATATATATATATATATATATATATATATATATATATATATATATATATATATATATATATATATATATATATAACATACGATGTATTGATTGGCCCTCATAAAAAAAGCCTTTATGAAGTCGGACGTGTGCCTGTTTACATCTGAGTTGCGATATTTACGCCTTTTGAGCTACACATCCGACTTCATCGAGGCTTCTTTCTGCGAATACCGATCAACGCATTGTCTGTTTCCTTATTACTTATACACTAATTTGATTATGTAAATTTATAACTTTACAGATTTTCAGAACCTGCAAGCTTTCTCGGTTTAACGAGACATAAATCTGAGACTTAAAAAGACGTTCCACTCCAAGGACATTTTTAGAGGGCAGAAGCCCCCCTCTCTCCTCCACCCCCCTCACTGGTAAATTTGTAAGGATTTTTGAAACGTCCCTCTAACGTGTCTCGGCATTGTCTTTTTAATTATTTGTTCGCACGGTTTATATTATTTTAATGTATTCGTATTAATGTGGTAAAGAGCAACTAAAAATAATGACTTTTACTATAGTTTGCACCCCCAGGTCGACCTAGCCTAAGTGGGTACCAGGTGCAGTCCTGGGAAGTAAAGTCCGCCGGCGTATGCTGACCACAACAGCCACCAAGTGCCGATTGGTCCATAAAAATATAGGTCTAGCCCTATATACCTAATACGCCTGAAAGCGGGGAAAAGGGTCCCTTATTTTACTTACTATATTCTTAACTCTTTGAGTCCTAGGGGGTTTAGCATCACAGGCCCAGGGGGTAGTAAAGAAAGTAATAAATTCGGCCCATCATGCGTTCATTGGGCTTCTATGTAGGAATCTATAATGCGTTCCTTGGGACTCAGAGAGTTAATACGCCAAGAGCTGAGTTGACTTGAGTCAGGTATTGACATCATAGCACTCGGGCATTCTCATGCATGCTCCGTCCTCATCTTCAGCAGCCAGCGTTGAGTTTCAATACTGATTCCCAATACGCCTATAGGCGTGGGAAAGGGACACTTATTTTACTTACTATAATCTTCATACGCCTAGAGTTGAGTTGAATCAAGTGTTGATTTCACAGCACTCAGGTCATTCCCATGCATGCTCCGTCCTCATCTTCAGCAGCCAGTGCAGAGTTCCAATACTGATTCTGAATACGCCTAAAGGAGTGGAAAAGAGACGTTTACATACTTTACTTATCATATTTTGCACAATCGTACAAACACGACTTGAAAGTTATCAGTACTGACACATACACTTTTATCCAGCTGCGGCTCACTGCAGCCCACGGTCGGTGTTCGAAACCGGGCGGTTCCCGGGGTTCACCCAGCCTCTTGGAAATGAGTACCAGAGTTAACACTTTGGGGTAACTGGAGGAACGTCGCTGTAGCTACAGAGTTACGTGCGAACGGCGACACAGGCAGACAATTTCTTATCAGCTGTCCGTACTGGTGGCAGTTTATAACATGGGCTACCAACACTAGGGTTCCTCCCTCCCCCCTCCCCCCAGATCTGGGGTTTTTAATGACGCTTTGAAAAAATCTGTTTTTTTTTTTTTTAAATATATCTTTATATAAAAGTGGTAAATGTTTCGTTTCGTAACTATACATTTTGTACATTAATTTTTAGTTTGTTTATGTATTGCTTAGGATTTTTCCCCCCAGCTAAGCTGGGTTTTTCAAATAAATCCAATTGGCAGCCCTGTTTATAACCGTGCGCAATGACGCTGTTGCACATCTCTTGACTTAACAAACGCAGACACTTGGGAGAGATCAGCTGCAGACAGACTCAACTGGAGGCAGACAATGAAAGACAGACTGTCACAGTTTTAGAAAAACCAGACGCAGCAAACTAGAGAGCAGAGGCGGCGTTTGTGGCCTAGGCGTTGCGAGTCCGATTCCTGGATTTTTTTATCAAAATATGGGACGTCGCAGGTCGACCCAGCCTAAAATGAGTACCGGAATGTATGTCTTGGGGAAGTAAAGACGGCCGGTGTAATGCTGACCACATTACCCACCTAGTACCGATTAGTCTGTAGAAATATTGGTGCTCTTCCCATTTGCCCAATGCGCCAAAAGGCGTGAAAAAGGATCTTTACGTCTTACTTTTATAGAAAAGATATAAAACCGAACGAAAAGTATATTAGCAAGCTTCACATTATAACAAATACAAACAAAACGTGAACGTTGAGGCTGCGGAGCCTTCATCAGCACATGCAAATCAAACAATACTACATAGATACATAAAATCACAGAATGCCTACACGTATCGACTGGGGGTGGGGATGGGGGGAGGGAATAAATACCCTCTGTGGAGTACCAGGGGCCATAACTAGGGAGTTAAAGATACAACTGTGAGGGCAGTTGAATCCCTTGGGAGTTTAAATGAAACTATGTTGGCAATTCAGTCCGGAGGGTGTTAAAGTTCCCAGAGTATAAATAAAGCTTTTCTTAAGAGACTCGCACTCTGTTGCCGAAGTGGCTGATAGAGAGCGGTTGTCTGTGAGAAAGCCAGCCTCAAAACGATCATCATCACTTTTATGTGGACTGTTTGGCGGAGACTGTCACTTCAGCATTGTCTTCTTCTTTTCTTTCCTTTCAGTGAGGTAAGTGGGTTGCACCTCTTTACAGCAGAGCTGCGATATTTGCACCTTGCGGTCGACACATCCGACATTTGTTGAACGGGCTAACTTCCCGGACTTCTGCATTTGAACTTTATCCTCGTAGCAGACATTGTCCCCAAATCCAACGAAAAGCTCCATTGTCGCCAGAGACTGACAGTCGAGCTAGGCTGAGTTAAGTTGAGCTAAGCTGAGTCGAGCTAAGCTGAGTTAAGCTGAGCAAAGCTGAGTTAACCTGAGCTGAGTTGAGTTGAGTTGAGCTAAATTTAGTTAAGTTGAGCAAAGCAGAAATGAGCTGAGATAATTCAAAATCCGACATCACAGCACTCTGGACATTCCCATAAGCGCTCCGTCCCAATCTTCAGCAGCCAGCACAGTTCCAATACCAATGGTGCCAGTAGCAGTCTGATGTTGTGTCCGTCTCGCCTTTCCTCTGAGCGTCGAGTATCGGCCAGATCCCCTCGTCACTCCTCGCTGCATCATTATAACCGACTGTGGTGATAAATTTGTTCCTCTGTATTAAACACTTTCTCCCATAGGACCCTAACTACGCCTGCCTTATCACGCATTAGTATTCCAAGTAGTGCAGTGCCTGCCATTCTGTCCGCTTGTTAATTTCCCAACACTCCAACATTCCCGGAGAAAAAAAAGGAAGACAATACTCCTCACACGTGACCTCCGAAGCGAAGCATGCCGGTCTCTCTGAACCGTGTGTGTCCTGACCCTCACCGGTATGCTTTCTTAGTCACTTGCGATCACGATGTGTGTGTAGTGTTATTTAACCAGCGGAAAGTTGCAGTGGCCGCCTCCACCTCCAGTCTTAACTTGGTAGTATGACAGCTGACGGCTGCCTACTGCTATGCTTATCGAGCCGAAGTGGTCTAGTGGCTAGACCTTCGCCTGCTGATCGGGTGGTCTGGGGTTCGGGTCCTGATAGGGGCCGCACTTTATTTAAAAAATAACATTGGCTCCCAGGTTGACGTAGCCTTCAGTCGATACCAGGTACAGTCCTCGGAAGTAAAGGCGTCCGGCATGATGCTGACATCACCAACCAAGTGCCGTTGTGTCTAAAAAAATATAGGTCTAGCCCTGTGTGCCCAGTATGACTTAAAACGTAATAAAAAGGTTCTTTACTGTGTAGTGTTATAATTGTGCACTTAAACAAGACGTAAGCTCTTATGAGGCCCCCTACACCCCTACAAAATAGGGCAACTGAGTTGACCCATTCCCCCAAATGTTTTGTGTGTGTGTGTTGATGAGCTCCCTAGCCAGGGTCTGATCCACCCGTCGTTGACGCCGACTCCAGCATGACCCAGACAGTTTGTCCATGAAAGTGTTGATAGAAATGACAAGTCTACGCTGGGCACTCACATAAACCAAACATAACCCCAGCTGAAGACTACACAAAAATCGCCATTGCATCGCCGTATTTAATATTGCCCCCACTCCGGGTCTATCAGAACTGTCAGCTGGCTCAAACTTATGTAGATATGACAGAACTACACTCAACGACTCCCGTTCATTACTTTCGGCTTATACTCTTTTCTTCTTTTCTGATTTATTTCGTATCTCCATGAGGGAGAGAGGAAGCGGGAGAGAGGGGGGAGTTGACGAGAATGGGAGAGATGGGAATGAAATGGGGGGGGGGGTGGAGAGAGAGAGAGAGAGAAAGAGAGAGAGAGAGAGGGAGAGAGAGAAGTTGAAGTGGAAGAAGTAGTTCTGGAACTGAAAAAAGGAGAGATGGGGAGTCAGAGAGAAAGATAGGAGAAAGCGACAAGATGTGAGATAGACAAATTAGTTAGAGGAGAGAGAGAGAGAGAATGAGAGAGAGAGAGAGAGAGAGAGAGAGAGAGAGAGAGAGAGAGAGAGATAAGGCATGAGCGAGTGCGCAAAGTTTTTGTGAGATTGAGAGATAATTATGAGCATAAGCGCCCAAACATTCTTTTTCATCTCCTTTTCCTTCATGTGAAAAAATGAGAAGAGATGAATAAACAAGAAGAGATAAGTAAATGAGAAAATGTTGTAGAAAAAGGAATGAATCAAAAGGAAAAAGTCGAGGAACAGAGAAAGGGTAAATAAAAAGACCAGAAAAAGCTGCAAAAGGAAAGAAACATAAAGTTCAAAACTCCACGTTTACTCTTGGAAAATAATATTGATAAGAATATTGACAGGAATCAAGATAAGAATATTGATAAGAATATTCCACCCGTGAGAGATAAATACCCGCACGGCCAGGGCTGGTGCGATTGAAAAACACAGACTTGATCCGTGATTCTGGTGATCGTGTGAGACAGCGAAACACGACTGCCTACTTTTACCGTCACAGCGCATGATGATAATAGTGATGATTTTGAGGCAAACCTGCAAACTTGATTCACTCTCAAAAAATCTTAATTGCGTATCTTTATTACAGTTCCCTCGTGTTGTGGCGACCCCTAAACAATTATTTTCCTTTATAACTTCAATCAATATGTGTTTTCCCTATGAGGTTTGAAGTCTGAACAACAGATCAACATCATGGCACATTTGTAGTAACCCATAAGTGCTCCGTTCTTCTTCTAACTCAAGTCTGCGTCCGAAGAAGCTCAGCACAGTTCACAGACTCTGTAGCAGTGGCGAAGATCCTGAAATACTTTAGGTAGATTTTTATCTCCACATTTTTGCCCTGGCAACGTCGTTAGGCTACTCTTTTCGATTTCCAACTGCCAAGAGATTTTTTTTATGTGCGCAACAATGCATACAGAGACCAAGGCCAATTGTTAGAAGTCTTAAGTCCACGTGCAGTATTATACTTCTCGTCCTTTTCAGGACGAAATTGTTCGTTATTTGAAGCCCAACTCTGGCTTTTGCCAGGGCCCGCAATATAGCCTGGCCATAAATATGGCCTAAAGGCTGAACGCGGTTTCTGGAACCTCTCCACGGTGATCCTCACCCACATGGTGGCACATTGTGTCATCGGGTGTTTATCGCTTGTGTGATGTCCTGGTGGGGTAGAAAGTCAGTCAGTCAGACCACGTGAAAAATTCCAGATCTTAACGGGGATTGAACCCGGAACCTCTAGCACTAGATGCGGACACCATGTCTCGAGTGGTTTCCTATGGTCTTAGGCCACCAGTGTGAAGGGGTCGTTCGACCCCCCAAAAAAAAGTCGCCTCCGGCAGGTTTAGAACTGCTGGTCTATCGGATATGAAAGTCGCGTGTGACGATCAGGTATGAAGATTAGGTGTGACAATCAGGTGCCAGCGTTGCACAGTCGGCGTTTTGAGAGGGAAAGCCGAGCTGGGCAACACAGTTCCCGCGAGTTAGGTTAGCCGATAGATTATTCTCATTGTACATCGAACCATCGAGTGCGCAGATCGCCTCCTCGATAAATCCAGCAGCGAGTAGCGGCTCAGGTCACCAGTTCTGCGTTGATTTATTCAACTTCTTTTCTTTTTTTTTTTTTGGGGGGGGGGGGGGGGCTGCCTGGTCAAGATGCATGGTGCCCGCCTTGAGTGCTAGAGGTTCCGGGTTCAATCCCCGTGAGGGCTAGGATTTTTTCACGTGGACTTGCACATCTAGTTTCTGGGTAGTGAAATCAGACGCCCGTGTGCATTATTACGCACGTAAAAAATCTCTTGCAATTGGAAATCGAAAAGAGTAACCTAACAGTGCCGCTTGGGCAAAATTTTGAGTTAAAAATCTACCCAAAGTATTTCAGGATCCTCGCCGGTACTACAGAGCCTGTGCACTGTGCTGAGCTTCTTCGGACTCAGACTTGAGTTAGAAGAAGAACGAAGCACTTATGGGTTACTGTCCGTGTGCAATGATTTTGACCAGTTGTTTAAACTTGACACTTCATCTTCTTTGTCTTCCGTATAGTGCTCTGGGTCTAGTCTCGCCATTTCTGAATTGCTGTTGTTGCATTCTGGTTATGGCTGCAAATGTTAGTCATCAGCTTATTGCTCCAACCCTTCTTACTTTATGAAAAGCTGTTTTTCAATCCGTGTTGTACAGATCATCAGTCACTCAGTCAGTCAGTAGCATGTCCTGTTTTAGTGGTGTCTAGATGTTCGTTCGTCTTAATGCTCTTGTTTTCACAGCGAGGTGCTGTCTTCATTTGGAGATGACAAGTTCGATTCCCCGGCATGCTGACTATAGTTTTCGATGTTCATATGTTTTAATTTATCATTCTATCATCCTACTTCTTTATATGAGTGCTCATCAATACATGTGTGTTTTGCTCCTTATTCTTTAGTCCTGTTACCCCCCCCCCCCCACCCTAATGGAGCATAGGCCTCTAATCAAACCAACTCAAACCAAGTCGTTCAACCATTTGCTGTCTCATGCAGCTCACTCCCCCCCCCTCCCCATGCCCACTCCACCACCTTTCTTTTTTAACTTTAAGCTTTAGCTCCCTCCTACGTATGTTTTTTATTCTGCCTTTATTCCTAAGTCCCGCGTGGTTTCCTTCATACCTGATCAGATGGGAAGTCACCACCACCTTTACCCTGATAGGTGCAATTACTTGTAGGCCCAGTTGAAATCTCTCAATGCTGCAGACTTTGATGCCCGTCTCCCAGATACACGGGAAAAACCTGAGGCCGTTGATTTAATAAACAAATATATAAGAACTGATTGGCACTGATAAAAGGAATTAGAGATATAAATGGACAAACTAGACAACATGAAAATTGAAAGCTATTTTTATATGCCGGGAATCGAACCTGTTCCCACCAAATAAAGACAGCGTCTGGCTGCAGAAACAATGGGTCAAACAAACTTTCGTCTCCCCACAGAAAGTAGGTCACGTTCCATTGATAACTTTGTTGGACTGGTCTACTGTGCTAATAATGGTTATGAGTGTGTTGCTCTGCTATTTGCTCTCTGTGTTGTCTTACGTTTTTATTCCGAGAAAGAGAATGCCTGTGACATAGGTTTCATCACTCTCTAAAGGGTTTTTGTGTTAGGCCCAGTTTGTCGATGTTGTTGGAGTGTTAAAAGCGCTGGCATGGTGAAATATACAAGACGAGATACCAGCTTGCCAAGGTCGCGTGACTCAAGGCCGACCAATCAGAGTGAGCTCAGCTGAGGGTCGATCAATCAGAAGTAAGCTAGTGTGTATATGGGCTTTCCGTGATGAGACCAATGTTACTATTACCAAAAAACGATACTAACACGCACGGCCACTTGACACTTCCTTACACAGACAAGCCAGTCATCTAACCTCTGCGTGACCTTCCTCTCTATAGACGAATCTCCTGCTGCCTCTACCTCGCCGCCAGATCCCTGGCCGTGTTCGGGTTTCTGGTCAGCGTGCTGATCGCCCTGACGCCACTGATGAACACCGAGGGCATCTGCGAGCTGACCGTGTTCCTGTCCTACATCTGCCCGTTCATGAGTGTCTGGATGGTGGTCATCATTTCTGTGGAGAACTTCATCAGGATCAGCCACCCGGCCAGGTACGTACACACGGCAGTTGTAACCGTGTACCCCTGACAGTTGTACACGAGACAGTTGTACATGAGACAGCTGTACATGAGACAGTTGGACATGTGACAGTTGGACATGTGACAGTTGGACATGTGACAGTTGGACATGTGACAGTTGTACACGAGACAGCTGTACATGAGACAGCTGTACATGAGACAGTTGGACATGTGTCAGTTGTACATGTGACAGTTGGACATGTGACAGTTGTACATGTGACAGTTGTACATGTGACAGTTGGACATGTGACAGTTGTACATGTGACAGTTGTACATGTGACAGTTGGACATGTGACAGTTGGACATGTGACAGTTGTACATAAGACAGTTGGACATTAGACAGTTGTACTTGTGACAATTGCACACATGACAATTGTACACGTGATAGCTGTACATGTGACAGCAACACACCTACCAGTTATACACTTGATAGTTGTACATGCAACAGTTTTTACATGAAAGTTTTACATATGACATTTGTACATGTGACAGTTGTACACGGGTACACATGATAGTTGTACACGTGGAAGTTGTACATGTGACGGTTGTATATGTGGCAGTTATACGCGTGACAGTTCTACGTGCGACAGTTGTATATGTGGCATTTATACATGTGACAGTTGTACATGCGAGAGTTGTATATGCGACTGTTATATATATAACAGTAAAGCATGTGACAGTAATACTGGTGACAGTTATACCTGTTACAAATGTGACAGTTGTACATATGACAGTTGTACATGTGGCAGTTGAGCACTGAACTGTTGTACACATGGCAGTTGTACACCCCTCCCCCACCCCCAACTGCTTCACTAGTAACTATTATCCTCTTATTCTCTCCCCCCCTCCCCCACACCCCTCCCCCACACCCCTCCCCCACACCCCTCCCCCACACCCCTCCCCCACACCCCCCTCCCCCAGAGTCGGCAGGCTGTGTACCCCGAGGGTTGCCAGGGTTGTCATCGCCGTCTTCCTGGTTCTTGGGTTGGTCACCTACAACTTTCCCTTCTGGACCAGTCGGGTTGTCAACCAGAACTGCGGAGTCAATCTCCGGTTCTTTCAGGTAGCATTTGTGTGTGTGTGTATGTTTGTAAACTATACGTTTGAGTAGCGTTACTATCTGTGACTATACTATACATTAAGGTTGCTTGTGTAAACTGTACCTTATTGTAGCGTTATCATAAGTGCCTGTAAAATATAATTCGGGTAGCGTTCGTGTGAGTGTGTGTGTGTGTATGTGCGCGCGCGCTCCCGCGTGTAAACTATACTTTCATGTAGAGTTAACTAATGCGTCTGTGAGCATAGACTGACAGGTAGCGTGAATGTATGTGTCTGTGGGCGTATATGTTCAGGTAGCGTGAATGTATGTGTCTGTGGGCGTATATGTTCAGGTAGCGTTAATGTATGTGTCTGTGGGCGTGTATGTTCAGGTAGCGTTAATGTATGTGTCTGTGGGCGTATATGTTCAGGTAGCGTTAATGTATGTGTCTGTGGGCGTATATGTTCAGGTAGCGTGAATGTATGTGTCTGTGGGCGTATATGTTCAGGTAGCGTTAATGTATGTGTCTGTGGGCGTTTATGTTCAGGTAGCGTTAATGTATGTGTCTGTGGGCGTATATGTTCAGGTAGCGTGAATGTATGTGTCTGTGGGCGTTTATGTTCAGGTAGCGTTAATACGTGTCTATGAACTATACTTTCAGTTAGCCTTATAATATTACGTGAATTACTCTTTTAGGAAGATTTAATATACGTATCTTTGGACTATACTTTCCCTGTATTCTCAATTTCATATGGAAAACATAATGACCAGTCTGATATTGGTAACATAATGACCAGTCTGATATTGGTAACATAATGATCATTCTGATATTGGTCAAAAAATGACCAGTCTGATATTGGTAACATAATGACCATTCTGATATTGGTAACATAATGACCAGTTCGAAATTGGTAACACAATTACCAGTCTGATATTTGTAACACAATGAACATTCTGATATTGGTAACATAATGACCAGTCTGATATTGGTCAAATAATGACCAGTCTGATATTGGTAACATAATGACCATTCTGATATTGGTAACATAATGACCAGACTCATATTGGTAAAAACAAAAATGACCATTCTGATACTGGTAACATAAAGTCAAGTCCGATATTGGTAACACAAAGTCCAGTCCGATATTGCTTACATATGTCAAGTCTGATAATGGTTTAAAAAATTACCAGTCTGATATCGGCAACATAATGATTAGTACGATATTGGTAACATAATAGCCAGTCTCATTTGGTAACATAATGACCAGTCCGATATTGGTAACGTAATTTCCAGTCTCATATTGGTCAAATAATGACCAGTCCGATGTTGGTAACAGATTTGATTCTTGAAAGCAACTTTTTCTTATGTTCAGTTGGTTAGAATAAGGTTTTAATGATGAGTTTAAGTCTGCAAAACATGCGCTGACAAACAGTTAATTAAAATTATTGAAACGATGGCCAAATGGTTGAATGCATGGATTGATGGATGGATGGATGAATGAATGGAGGGATGTATGCAAAGATGAATGGACTGATGCGTGGATGGATGCACGGATGCATAAAAGCATGGATGGTTGCATAGATGAATTGATGGATGGATAGATGGATGCATGGATAGATGCATGCATGCATAGAAGGATAGATGCATAGATGCATAGATGCATGGAAGCATAGATGGATGGATGAATGCATAGATGGATGTATGCATAGATGAATAAATGGATGCATGGATGGATGAATGCATGGATGGATGGATGCATACATGAATGGATGGATGCATGGATGGATGAATGCATGGATGGATTGATGCATAGATGAATGGATGGATGGATGCATGGATGGATGGATGAATGCATGGATGGATGCATGCATGCATAGATGAATGGATGGATGGATGCATGGATGGATAGATGCATGGATGGATGCATGGATGGATGGATGCATGGATGTATGGATGCATGGATGGATGGATACATGGATGGATGGATGGATGCATGGATGTATGGATGCATGGATGGATGGATGCATGGATGGATGCATGGATGGATGGATGGATGGATGGATGCATGGATAGATGGATGGATGCATGGATGCATGGATGGAGGCATGCATGGATGGATGAATGCATGGATGGATGGATGCATAGATGAATGGATGGATGCATGGATGCATGAATGCATGGATGGATGGATGCATAGATGAATGGATGGATGCATAGATGGATAGATGCATGGATGGATGGATGCATGGATGGATGGGAGCATGGATGGATGGATGCATGGATGGATGGATGCATGGATGGATGGATGCATGGATGTATGGATGCATGGATGCATGGATGAATGGATGGATGCATGCATGGAAGGATAGATGGATGCATGGATGGATGATGCATGGATGGATGGATTGATGGCTAGCTTGCTGGATGGATTGATGCACGGATGAATGCATGGGTGGATGGATGCATGGATGCATGGATGCATGGACGGATGGATTGATGGCTGGCTTGCTGGATGGATTGATGCACGGATGAATGCATGGGTGGATGGATGCATGGATAGATGGATGGATGCATGGATGTATGGTTGGATGCATGGATAAGTAACTGAAAAACTGAAGACATTACATGGTTACTTCCTGTAATGTTTAATTATTCAGCTACCCTTTAGGACAAGACCCACTGACTCGTTTGTACCAGCGGTGTCCCACAGGATGTCGCCGGTTTAGATTTATGCGGTATCATAGATATTCATCAGTTGTGTCGTCCGGACTTGAGATGTCAGGCTGCCTAGAATAGTAGAGGGTTAGGTGTTTGGATCTCTTGGGAGTGGTATGCCCAACGACGATAGGATCACAGTCACAACAAGGAATGAGTAATGGATGTTGTAGAATGGGAGAATTTACAAGTTTTGGGACTAAAGGATGCGATTCTCTGCACACGAATATATCTATGAGGGAGAGGGGAAGCGGGGGAGAGGAAAGAGTTGACGAGAATTGGAGAGAGGGGAAAAAAGGGAGAGAAGAAGAGAGAGGGCGAGAGAGAGATAGATAGATAGAGAGAGAGAGAGAGAGAGAGAGAGAGAGAGAGAGAGAGAGAATTTGAAGTGGAAGAAGTAGTTCTGGAACTGAAAAAGGGGAGAAAGGGAGACAGAGAGATAGATGGGAGAAAGCGATAGGAGTTGAAGTAGCCACATTTTTTTTTTAAATTAGGAGAGAGAGAGAGAGAGAGAGAGAGAGAGAGAGAGAGAGAGAGAGAGAGAGGAGAGAGAAGGCGTGAGTGAGGGCCCCAAGTTATTGTGAGATTGAGAGATAATTATCAGAAGAAGTGAGTGAGAAAGACAGAGAGAAACAGGACCAAAGAGACAGAGTAGTTTAGGTAAGGTTTAAGTTTAGGTTTAGGTTTAAGTTTAGGTTTAGGTTTGGGTTTAGGTTTAGACGATAGAACAACATCATGGCACAAGGGTAGTAACCCATAAGTGCTCCGTTCTTCTTTTAACTCAAGCCTGAGTCCGAAGATTCTCAGCGCAGTGCACGAACTCCGTAGCACCGGTGAGGATCCTAAAATACTTTAGGTAGATTTTTAATTCTAAATTGTGCCAGGGCAACGCCGTCAGGCTACTCTTTTCTATTTCCAACTGCAAGGGGTTTTTTTTACGTGCGCAACAATACACACGGGCGGTCGATCTTATTACTCAGAGACCAGGGGAAATTACCAGAAGTCCAGGTTAAAAAAAACCTAGCCTTCACCGGGGTCTGAACCCGGGACCTTCAGCACTCGACGCAGACGCCATGCCTCGAGACCACACAGCACCCTCGTGAAACAGGGGGGGTCGGCCAGTGTGCGTATAAGAGAGAAGGGGTGAGACGAGTATTGAAAGAACAAAGTTAAGAGGAGAGAGACATAGATAGATAGAGAGAGAGAGAGAGAGAAAGAGATACTCAAGGATGGAGGCAGACAA